AGGGGTCCAGACCCGAAACGTCAGCTTTCCTGCTCCTCTGATGCTTCTTGGCCTGCTGTGTTCATCCAGCTCTACACCTTGTTATCTAACATCACTGTTGAGTTCAAACTATTTGGTTATATGTGTACTGTCACATAGTGTTCGTGTCAGTGAAAAATTGCTTGAAAAGTCCATGGTGATTTTGTTTTGTTTGAAATGTCCAATCAATTGTCAGTATTCATATATATATATTATGATGAATAAAGGTAATCTGTGTGAAAAAAATACTGAATATTGAAGTGATCTAATTTAAGTACTGCAAAAGCTTTTGAATTTTGCGTATCAATTACTCTCAGATCTACATTTTGGACTTGAAGGGTTAATGTTTCAATCTTTTAGTTTTATAGTATTTAAGATCACTTAGTATTTTTTTAAATGGATGTAAAAGGATTTACAATTTGAGAAATGTCTACAAATAATTTTCATGCAACACACTTTTAGTTGCATGATTAAATTTGAACAAAATAGGGATGCTTAAATGAGAATAAAGCAGAGGGATAAATAATTTGTGTATATTAACACATTGAATGCCAACTTGACTCATTTGCCTGTGCAACAGCAAGTTGAATGTCTGCAGGTTCAAGGCCCAGTTCAGAACTTAAGGGCCTAATCTAAGCAGGCACTTCAGCACTGAACCTGGGGAAGAGTTGCTAAATTGTTGGAGGTGACTCTTTGCATGGGACATTAAGCTGTGTGGTCCCACTTGTATGTAGTCAATGCTATTGTAATGAAGACTCTCAATTGTTCAACTTAAATCTGAGATGCATTTTAAAAGATAGTAATTGTGGCTAAAATCTTCTAACTTTGTACATTTGTGATAGAATTGCATTCATTGTGATCTCACTGGTACATGGAAAGTGTTTTAAGGATTACTTTTTTGTGTGTGTAGAAGTATATGTCAGTTATTTTGGAGGGGTGGGGGCAAGTTTGTATGTTTGGTCTGTTGTCTTGTGGCAACTCAAGTACAGTTGTGTCCAAGAGGTAATGTTTTCCTGCGTGTTGTGGTTTTAATTTTAATTGTGTTGATGATTCTTGAGGATGTTGATGGATTTTTCTTTTAATCTGTGACAGTCCAAATATCCCACATATAAACACAAATGCAGTAGGTATTGTTAGTATATGAATACATCACCTAATAAATAAGTTGGTGGGAATAGAAAAGTAGTCCCTGAAAACCAAAATGCAGACTCTTAAAATCAAAAAGTAGCCTTCAAGAAGATTGCAAGAGGAGCCCTTGGGGGCAGGGGATTACACAAAATGTTTTGACCCTTGATTCAGAGTGTAGAACCAGCAACCTAACCAGTGCTAAAGCCAGGATGCAAATCTGAATTGGTTTTGAATAAGAGTTGTTCCATATGTTCTGCTGTTACATGGAAACATAGATGATAGGAGCAGGAGTAGGCCATTTAACCCCTCAAGCTTGCTGATGATCAAACTCAATCGCTAATTCCACAATCCCACTATATTCCTTGATCCTGTTAACCACAAGTGCAACATTGACCTCCGTCTTGAAAACACATAATGTTTTGGCTCCAATGATATTCTATAGTAGTGAATTCCACAGGCTCACTGCTCTCTGGGTGCCTGTCAGTCCACAAGATTTACCTCTTATCATTAAACTATGACCCCTGGTTCTGAGCTCCCCATCATCCAGATCATCCTTTCTGCATCTAACCTGTATGACCTGTTAGAATTTATTGGTTTATGAGACTCACCCCCATTCTTCCAAATTCTAGTGAATGTAATCCCAACTGACTCGATTTCACTACATACGTCAGTCTTGCCATTCCAGAATCAATTTGGTAAAGATCTGCTGCACTTGCTCTAGAGCAAGAACATACTTCCTCAGAAATGGAGAGCAAAACTTCACACAATATTTCAGATGGAGCTTCACCAATGTCCTGTGTGATTGCAGCAAAACATTGATGTTCAATACTCAAATTCTCTCACTATGAATGCCATTATAAGTTTTGCCTTCTTTATTGCGCATGCATGCTTACTTTCCATGACTGATGCATGAAGACAGCCAGGTCTCAATGAACATCTCTTCGCAATTTACAGCATTCAAATAATAATCTGCCTTCATTTTTTTTGCTACCAAGGTAGATAACCTCTCTTTCATTCACATTATACTGCATCTGTCATGCATTCGTCTACTCACACAGCCTGTCCCATCATATTGCAACATCTCTGCATGATCCACACAGCTCACCCTTACACCCAATTTTCTGTCATCTACAAATTTTGAGATATACATTTATTTCCCTCCTCTAAATAATCAAAAATATTGTGAATAGCTGGGATCCTCGTACCAATCCCTACAGTGCCCTACTAGTCACTGCCCACTATTCAGCAAAAAACCCATTTAATTCCACTCTTTGATTCCTGTCTGCTAACCAATTTTCTGTCTGTCTTGATACACCACCCCTAATCCCAAACGCTTTCATCTTGCACAATAATCTCTTACGTGAGAATTTGTCAAAAGCCTTCTGAAAGTCCAAATAAACTACAACTGCTGGCTCCGCTAATCAATCCTCTGCTATTTACATCCTCGAATAATTTTAATAGATTTGTAAAGCATTATTTCCCTTTTTGTAAATCTTTGCTGACTGATTCTACTAATGTTTGCTACGTGTTCTGCTTTAAAATCCTTGATAATCGTCTCTGGTATCTTCCCCATTACCGACATCAGACTTCTTGGTCTATAATTCCCGGTTTTCTCTCTACCTCCCTTTTTAAATAGTGGGGTTACATTAGCTGTCCTCCAGTTTGTAGGAATTGTTCCAGAGTCCAAAGAATCTTGGAAGATAACCACCAATGCATTCACTATTTCTAAGGCCACTTCCTTAACCACTCTTCGATGTAGGTTATCAGGCCCTGGGGATTTATCAACATTCGATTCCAACAATTTCTCCAACACCATTTCTCTACAAATACAGATTTACTTTAATTCCTCCCTCTCACTAAACCATTAAACCAATTTTGCTGTAGCTTGTGGCCCACAACACTTCATCAATGCCAGGTTTTGAGCTACTAGATCTATTAGAAGTCTATTCCATTTAGCACTGTATACCACTGTGCTGATAGTGGGGTGGGACATCACTAGAGATAGCAACGATGCTGTCTGGGACATTGTCATTAAGGTATGATTTCATGAGTATGTCACAGAAGTCGTCTGAGACATCTCTCCCAAATTTGGCAAGGACGTCTTTACAGGGTTGGCAGGGCTCAGTTTCTAGTGTCTAGGTTAAGTGGTTCATTTATTATTTGGCACTTTCCAAGCAGTTTTACTCGGCTACAATTGAGTGGCTTTCTAGGCCATTTCAGAGGCACTTAAGAGTCGCAGTCCCCAGGTTGCGAACAGGTACCTTTCCTGAGTCCATTAGCAAGTCAATTTGGACGCAAGTCAGAACACTATGCAGATGATATAAAGTAACCATTCAGAAGTACAGGAAATGTTCATAAGTGGGATATTCATAAATCAGGGACCCCCTGTACATTGAAATAGATCTGAAGTCACATCTGAACCAGGACATTAGTGAATTAATGCATTTTTTCGTCAAGTAGCAGTGGTTTTATGGTCATCATCAGTCTTCTAGTATCTCATTTTTCATGAATTCAAATTCTGGTGTATATTTGGTGGATTCAGAGGATATTCCTTGGAATGCTTCCTGGGTCTCGGAGTTACTAGTCCAATGACCAATACCACTATGCTATCGCCTCCACTGTATAGTTACAGATGTAATGGTTTTAACTGGCTGCAAGTGCTCAGTGTAAGTTGATATATGAGCAATATTGTCCACCACACTTGCAAATAGATCCAAAATGAGTTATGTACATGAATTTTCTATCAGGAATATATTGTGTTACAAATTAAATGTGAATTTTCCCCCCAAGATTAATAATAGGATAATGCAAGTAAAGTATTTTGCCTAATATCTGACCTCAATGAACTGCAAATTTGTCTAACTGTTTTGCAGTTTGGAAGGGACTATGGGGTTGCTATAATAGAAGCAATTTTTTTTAATTCAATAGAAACAGTACTTCACTAATGCTAGATTACATAAAGGTTTGCATGAGTTTCAGAAATTATCTGCACATTTCTGGTGTGTAATTTTTTGTGTCTTCAAGCTACAGTTTAATTAATTCCTGCAGGTTTCACTTCATGAGTTAATTTAGTTGTAACTAAAATGGTTATTGAACTTTTGTGTAGGATAAACAGATTAATATTACTCATGCCTTTTGAATGCTTTGAATTAATGGTTGCATAGATACATTTTCTCCCTTTGGCATTGTTGTCTCCTGAGTGAATGAGGGGAGGGGGAGGGGAACAAGAAAAAATACTTTTGTCTCTGTGAATCAAAAAAAGCAACTGTAATCATTCTTCGTGGCAATGTGCTCACTGATGTCCCCATTGTGACATCTGTTTATGACTTAATGGTTATACATTGAACTGTAGTGAAAACAAGGAAAGTATAGAGTACTGGATTCTTGACCAGGTCATGAATTACAGTTTCAGTGGGGTCCAGCCTTCATTTTGAGTCCCCACATCAATAAATACCCAAATGATCTAATCCTAATTGCAAAATTCTCCTAACAGGATTCTTCACAGATGTGGGAACAGTTGGCACTGAATTGGTTGAACATGAACATGCTTAGCTATCATAGATGCTGATTATAAATTGTATAAATTTAAAAGGAAAGCAAAAGGAGATGCAGGAGTTGGATTATGACTTCCCTTAAAAAAGCTGTATGTGAAAAGCCTCTGCTCTGATGTTCTTAAGTGAAGATGTCTTTAATTACCCACTGAGTTTTATTTATTTTATATAATTCCCAATAGGAACTAAATGTCCGTAAGCTGACATTATCCACAGACAAAAGCAAGTATGGCATTCAGCTAAGGGCAGAACCAGATCACATGGTTCTCGGAAAACGCTTGAAGAGTGCTTTCAAATCTGTTACAGCAGCTATCAAGGCACTCCAGAGTACACAGTTGGAGGAGTTCCAAAAGACAGGTGTGTAATAGGATGTTGTTAGTTGTTTGCTGTGGAAAGAGTAATCATTTCTTGCTCACAATCTCTAGAGCATAATTAGCCTTTTTTAACTGCATAGCTCAATGTTAATGCTATCCAATTGTAATCCGATAAATTAAACATCATGTATAAATGTAGCATCTAGGAGCAACTGAAAGCTACAAAATTGTTTCCAGACTCCAGTCCTTATTTTTGCCATATAATCTTTAACAAAAAGACCACATGTTTCCTGCAATATCTGGTAGTAATGAGCCTCTTTGTGATTGTTTAGAGCTACAATTATTCTTTAAGTGGCAGTGCAGCACTCAAAGCTTCTTCTGATGTACGAAAGGAATATGATTTGAAATCTTAAAAGTAAGTTTATCCTAACATGTTTAAAATTAACAAAACTTTGAAATGGTTGGTGGTCAGTTGCTGTGTGAGATCTTGTTATTTTATAAATAGTAGCTTGTGTTAATATAAGACCTTCACAACCTCAGAACATCTAGATGTTTTAGAGTCAATGCAGTGCTTTTGAACTGAGGTCGCTGTTGTAGGGTAGAGAAAAAAAAAGTTGTCGTGCCAACGTTGAAAAAAATAAATATTTTAACCATCCTCTGATTAAATTTAGAAAATGCTGCAAATTGAATAATACTAGCATTTGATCCAAGAAAATTAGATTTATTTTAGCCTTAGTTGAAATTGGTAGAATTTTCATTGCCTCCATCTTTTATGCTGAAGGTCTTTTTTAAAAATAACCCATAAATCTGCATTGAAGATGATCGGTGTCCAATTAATAAAACAAACGTACTGGAGAAACGCAGCAGGATCTGTGAAGAGAGAAAAGAGTTAACGTTTTGAGTCCAACATGGCTTGCTTTCCTAGGAATGTCGGGGTTCCAAAGGAGAGCCATAAACTTGAAACATAAGCTTTGTTCCTCTCGCCACAGTTGCCAACAGAACTGCTCTAGCACCTTTCTCTATCACTTCGTATTTATAGGTCAGATCTCCAGAATCTACAATGTTTGCTTGAAGTAAGTTTAATTCTTGCCGTGAATCAATAACGATAATGGTGCAATCCTAATATCTAACATTTAATGAACAGGAACCATAGTTGTCGAAGGACATGAGCTCCATGAGGAAGACTTGCGCCTTCTGCATACATTTGATCCAAATGCAGGAATAAGTGCTCAGTATGAAGCCCATTCTGATGCTCAAGTAAGATTTTAATTTAATGCAAAAAGAAATTATTTGCTGTTTTTAAATTGTAAAGTAAAACTAATATGTATTTAATTACTTTTTTATGTTAAAGTGTTAAAAACAACTTTTGAAACTTCTGCTTGGCTTTGCTTTCCAGATGATTTTGAAATGAATGCTCATGAGCTGTGAAATAGAGGATGCAAACCCCTCTATTGTTTTGGTTGTATTCCCCTTGCCCTTCTCTAATTGTCCTTGAGATACTGAGTGACTTGCTACTCCATTTCAGAAGGTTGTTCAGTGTCAATCACATAGCTCCAGAGTTAGATTTCTGCCAAATTGTTAAGCATAGCAGATATCCTACATTTGTGATAGATTTTAACACCTATGCTAGTTCAGTGGTCATTTTTTACTGATACTTTTCTGTTCTAAATTTATTTAATTAATAGTACGAATCCTATGTTTTTAAGAAATTGTATTTTTGCAGAACTAAAATGTGCAAACATAGCTGGTAACGCAGAATTTTGAGCAGTTTTGTCATTTCAGTTGTTTCAATTTTGTACCTTTCCCTATTTAGATTTTATGAAATATAATCATATATTAATTTATTTAGTTAATTGTATTTAAGTTCTGCAGTTGCTGTGGCATGATTTGAACTTGTCTCCGGATCCTTTGTCCAAGCCCATCCATTCAGTAGCATTCCCACTATGTTACCGTGTCTGATCATGTCCAATATCTAGTATTTAATAAATTATGTTCTGTAAATAATTCATGACTGTAAGTGTAGCTGATAATACAGAATAGCTCAATGACTTTGTCACTTCAGCAGTATTAATTCTGCTCCCTTAAACGTTTAGATTTCTGTATTAAATCCAAATTGTGTCATTTAACTCACCAGCTGAGAAATATCTTGGATCTGTTTCTGCTGCATGTCTGAAGAAAGGTCATCAATCTGAAGCATTTATCTCTCCACGAATGCTGCATGACCTGCTGAATATTCTAGCATTTTTCTAATTTTCGTTAAATTTTGTCTGGATGTCTTTTGCTTTTTACCATTGCAACTGGAAATTTGCTGCTTTCTTCAATTAGTTTGTAAAAGTGCACTCTTTAAAAATATGACTTGTTGTTTAACTGCATTCTTTTCGTTCATTTTCTTACCTTCATTTCCCCTTGTCTGTCTCTCCTTTGTTCACTATTGGCAACTATACCACCACTCATCTAGACTCCACACTCTAGTCTTTCTTCCTTTAGGCATTCACTCCCCGCCTTCTCTCTCAACCCTTTTAAGAGAAGGATCTCTTTAAAACCATTTACTTTGATCAAACTTTAGGGCCTGTGCCAAATATTTATCCCTGAATTAACATACTAAAGATAAAAGGTAACTTGCTCATAGTCTCTTAACAATCTATGGAACTTTACCTTCAAATTGGTTGCTGTCCTTAGTTGACTATCGTTTACTTTGAGGTCATATAATTATAAATTGAAATTTCTTTTTTCTAAACACCTTCCATGTCTTCCTAATTGTTCCTCTGTGATGTGCTTTCAGACTTTTTGCATTGTGGTAAAACTATATAAGTGCAAGGTAATGCCGATGAAGATGTTTAATATTGCTGGGACATGGTTCATAGAATTAGAGATGAGTAATAGCACGAGTTCATTCAGCCATTATGTCTGCACCACTCTTTTAAGGAGTATTCCAGTTCATTGCCTCACTCTTTCCCTATAAACTTGTGATTTTTGCTTGAAGTATTCATTCACTTTCCTTTTGAAGGCTTTTGAGTCTATATCCACCATCCATCAGGCAGTTCGTTCCAACTACTAAGCACTTACTGTGAAAAAATGTTTTCCCTCATGTTGCCTGTGATACTTTAGCCAATCATTTTATGTTTCAGTCCTCGGTCATCAGAAACAATTTCTCTGAAGTTACTGTATCTAAGTCCTTCTTGATTTTAAACAATGCAGTCAAATCTCCGCTTCGTCTTCTCTTCATACACAACCAATATGGCACTGTTCAAAGGAAATTCTCCCAGCATCCTGGCTAACATTCAGTCCCCCAACTGTCTCCAGATCAATTTGTTTTTATTTCTTTACTTGAACCGTTATTGATCTCTTTCATTTTCCACAATTACTCTTCTGTCATTCAACTTCTTTCACTTACCATCCTTACCTTTTGTTTTCCTCCCTCCAATCCCACCCCCTCTCTTCCATCACCCTCTGTTTACATTTCTAACTGTTTCCATTCTAATGAAATGCCATTGACATGAAATGTTTTTTTTCTGAAACATTTCTGGTGTATATTCAGCATTTTGTATTTCAGATTTTCAGCATATGTAGTTAAGTTTTTTTACATGTTTGTTTTGATAGTTTTAGAGCCCCAATCTGTGGAACAGTTGCCTGTACGTGTGTGCGCATTTTGTTATCTTATGAAAAGATACTGTTTCTTTTAGGTTTTGGTTCTTTTAGATGTTACACCTGACCAGTCAATGTTGGATGAAGGAGTTGCACGAGAAGTTATAAATCGTATCCAAAAGCTTCGAAAGAAGGCAAGTTTTTTTTTCTTTTCTCCCCTATTCTTTCTTCATTTGTATTAAGCAATTCAACTAACACACAGTTTCCACCAGAATCACACCCAATTAACTTTTTCTGACATGAGCTAAGGCAGTTAATGTTGGCAGACTATCTGGCAATGGCAGCACCATGCCTGTTCCCACTTGGAAACTCAAGCAGAGATTGATAGACAACGAACTGAGGCTGATATTTTTCCCCATTCCCAACCTCAACTTAATCTGGAGCTGCTGAGATCAGCAATCATTTTCCATTTACTGACCATAGAGTGTTAAACCAGAGTTTAGATTGTCACCCAGTTTAAATAGATGATTCACAGAGAGAACATCAAAGATAATGTCTTAAAGCATATTTGCTGGCAAATGATTTCCATTATTGAGCGGATTGGAGACACATCCTCTGACTGATTTACTTGATTTTGTGATGATAAGCATTCTTTGTGCTGCAGGAGCCAGCATTCCGTGAGAATGGATCATTCAGGGGACATTCAGTTCCAAGGGATTATTATATTTGGCTGTTCCAAACTGTAGCTGCATGCAATTCTGCCTAAAAATGGGTGTGGACAAATTGAAAGGTTTTCAATAGGTCAGATGTGACAGTTAAAGGTTCACTGAAGAAGAGTTCAAAGGGTTCTTGCAGGCAGTGAGAGAGACCAGGATAGACCTGGGAAAAGAGGGTAATGACCAGAATGGGAGCAGTCACTGAGGTAGTCCATGACACAACAGCTCTTGAAAGGGAGTTTCAAGGCCAGGTTAGCAAAAAGTGACAAATTTGAACCCCTGTAAAGCTTAATAAGATTTGATGACCAGCCAATAAGTCTCCTGTTGTTTGTTTAAAACTGTAAAATCTTGTGGTTTTATTCTCCTAGTAAGTTCCTTGGATCTCATGCTCTGTCTATTTTTTTTTTAAAAGCCGAGGAGCCCCAAGCCAGATCATAGCATAGTTTGGCAGTCTGGTAAATAGAAGAGATGTATCCTATCTACAAGCAAAGATAGTCATAAATTTCATTCTGTTGAATGAATGTCAGCATGGCAAAGAGATGGTTTTTGTTTGTTTGTAAACGACCACCACACCACCTCCCCACCCCCCGCCCCCCAAATTCCTCACCTAATCCAAGAGTTAGAAGTTTCCACCCTAGGGGGCTGAGAAGACTGAGATTAGTGGATTCTTGGGGTCTAATAAAATAGCAGAGGGTGACTGAGAGGGAGAGGTATCGCTTTGGTGCATGGATTAGAGCCTAGAAGCAGTCACTTGCCTCCTTCCTTCCCTCCTCTAACCAACAAAAAAAGATTGGGAGAGATGTGCTCTTGAAAATTTGTTGGTAGCAGAGTAAGAAATGAAGTGTTGGCTCCAAAGGCTTCGGTGAGCAGCAGTTCAGCAAAAAATTATAGGTAAGCTCTAGTAAAGTCCTTTTAACTTGGCTGTTTAATCTTAGAGCATTTGAAGTGGTAGTTAGGGCAATGGCATGCTGGTCCTGCAGGATGTGGGAGCTCGGGGAGATTTTCATTGTCCCTGATGGCTACACCTATGGGATGTGCACCCAGCTGCAGCTCCTGGGAGACCGTGTTAAGCAGCTATAGCTGGATGCACTTAGGATCGCCCAAGATGCTGAGTGCATCGTAGAAAAGAGTTTCAGTGAGGTGGTCACACCTAAGGTGCAGGCAAAGAATAGCTAGATGACCGCTAGCAAAGGCAAAGGGAGTAGGCAGAGAGTGCAGGAATTCTCTTTAAAAACAAGTATACCGTTTTGAATACTGTTGGGGTGGTTGACCGTTCGTAGGAAAGCAGCAGTCTGGGGCACTGCAGGAAAGGGTAAAGGTAAATGGAACCTTTAGTGATAGGAGACTCGATAGTTAAGGGGACAGACAGGAGATTTTGTGGCCGCAAACGGGAATCCAGGATGATGTGTTGCTTCCTGGGTGCCAGAGTTCAGGATGTCTGAGTGGCTGCAGAACATCCTCAAGGGGAGGGTAAGCAGCCAGAAGTCATTGTGCACGTTGGAACAAACGACATCGGTAGAAAAAGGAATGAGGTCCTGCGGAGTGATTATAGAGAGCGAGGAAAAAAGTTTAAAAACCAGGACTTTGGTGGTAATCTCTGGATTACTTCCAGTGCAATGGACTAGTGAGGGTAAGAATAACAGGTTATGACAGATGAATGTGTGGCTAAAGAATGGGGGCAGATTCCTGGATCATTGGGATCTTTTCTGGGGCAGAGGTGACCTGTTCAAAAGGGACCAATATCCTGGCAGCAGATTTACTAGTGCTGCAAGGGACGGTTTAAACTAGATTGGCAGGGGGGTGGGATCCTCAACAGCAGGGAGGCAGGTGCGAGGCTGGAAAGAGATACAGTAATCAGAGGTAGCAAGTTGAAGAGACAGGTCAGGCTGGAACAGGACAGGGAGCAAGGAATGCCTGTTGGATTAAATTGCATCTGTTTCAATGCAAGAGGGCTAACAGGTAAGGCGGATGAACTCAGGACGTGGATAGGTACGTGGGGCTGGGATATTATAGCTGTTACAGAAACATGGCTAAGGGAGGGATAGGATTGGCAGCTTAATGTGCCAGGGTGCAGGTGCTTTAGGCAAGACAGAGATGGAGGAAAGAGGGGAGGGGGGAGTTTAATTTTTGATTAAGGGGAGTATCACAGCAGTAGTCAGAGATGAAATAACTGAGGGGTCATCCAGTGAATCTTTGTGGGTGGAGCTAATAGATAAGAACGGGATGGTGACATTAATTGGGTTGTAATATAGGCCCTCAAATAGTCAACGGGTATTAGAAAACAAATATGCAGGGAGACTGGGGAGATTTGCAGGGGCAATTGGGTAGTCATTGTGGGGGATTTTAAGTTTCCTAACAAAGACTAACAAAGTGATAATGGATTAAATGAGGTGGAATTTGTTAAATGTGTTCAGGAAAGTTTCCTCAAGCAGTATATAGAGGTTCCTACTCAGGAAGGGGCAAAACTCAACCGATTGTTGGGAAATAGGGCAGAACAGGTGACTGAGCTGACAGTGGGGGAACACTTTGGGACCAGTGACCATAGTTCTAATAATTTTAAAATAGTTATGGAGAAGGATAAAACTGGTCTGCAGGTTCAAGTTCTAAATTGGGGCAAGGCGAATTTTGATGGAATTAGACAGGAGCTTGCAGGGGTTGATTGAAGTAGTTTGTTTGCAGGCAAAGGGACCTCTGGCAAGCGGAGGCCTTTAAAAGTGTGATAGCTAGAGTTCATGCCTGTATGTTCCTGTAAGGACAAAGGGCAAGATTGGCAGGAGTAGGGAACCCTGGATGACCAGCGGTATTGAGGCTTTGACCAGAAAAAAGGAAGAGGCATGGCTTAAGCACATGCAGCTGGGATCAAGGGAATCCCTGGAGGTGTATAGGGGATATACAGGAGTTTACGGAAGAAGGAAATCAGGAGGGTGAAAAGCAGGCATGCGATAGCTTCCACTGAGACGATTAGGGTGAATCCAAAGAGATTCTTTAAGTATATTAATGGAAAAAGAATAACTGGAGAGAGAATAGGACCCCTCAAGGACCAAAGTGGACATGTATGTGTGGAACTTCAGGAGATGGATGAGGTCCTCGATGAATATTTCTCCTCTGTGTTTACAGTGGGGAAAGACCTGAAGATTTGGGAACTTGGGGAAGCTAGTGGCGATATCTTGGAGACAGTCCATATCACAGTAGAGGAAGTACTGGAAGTATTAGAACGTATGAATGTCCATAAATCTCCTGGTCGTGACCGGATATATCCAAGAGCTCTGCAAGAGGCTAGAGAAGAAATTGCAGGGGCCCTGGCTGATATATTTTCATCATCGTTAGCCACGGGTGAGGTCCTGGAAGACTGGAGAGGAGCAGATGTTGTTCCCTTATTCAAAAAGGGTAGACGTAGTATATAAGGATTTCAGTAAGGCCTTTTGATAAGGTTCCACATGGTAGGCTGCTCTGGAAGGTTAGATCACATGGAATCCAGGGAGAGCTGGCAAATTGGATGCACAATTGGCTTGATGGTGGGAAGCAGAAAGTAATAGTGGAAGGATGCTTGTCAGACTGGGGCCTGTGACTGGTGGTGTGACTCAGGGTCAGTACTGGGCCCATTGCTGTTTGTTATCTATATCAGTGACTTGGATGAGAACGTACAAGGATGATCTGTAAGTTTGCGGATGACACTAAAATAAGTAATATCGTGAACAAGTGAGGAAGGTTATCAGTAATTGCAGCAGGAAGTGGGCCAAGAGATGGTAAAGGGGATTTAATATCGGTTAAGTGTGAGGTGTTGCATTTTGGAAAATCAAATCAAGGTAGGAGTTTCATGGTGAATGGTAGGGCTTTAAGGAGTGTAGAGGAACAGAGGAACGTTGGAGTTCAGGTGCACGGTTCTCTGAAAGTGGAGTCACAGGAAGACAGGGCAGTGAAGATGGCTTTTGGCACACTGGCCTTATCAGTCAGGGCATTGAGTATAGAAGTTGGGAAGTTATACTGCAGTTGTACAGGATGTTGGTGAGGCCATTCTTGGAGTATTGTGTTTAGTTTTGGTCACCTTGCTATAGGAAGGATGTTATTAAACTGGAAAGAGTGCAGAGGAGATTTACAAAGGTGTTGCCAGGACTCAAGGGATTGAGCTAAAGTGAGAGGTTAGACAAGCTAGAACTTCTTTCTTTAGTGCGTAGGAGATTGAGAGGGTATCTTGGAGAAGTGTATAAGATCATGACAGTCATGGATAGGTTTGGGAAATCGAGGCATCATTTTAAGGTAAGAAGGGAAAGAATACATGGAAACCCGAGGAGCAACTTTTTTACACAGAGGGTGGTACACATAGGGCATGAGTTGCCTGCGGAAGTGATTGAGGCAGCTACATTAACATTTAAAAGGTATTTGGACGAATACATGGATAGGAATGTTTTAAAAGGATATGGGCCATGTGCAGGGAAATGGGGTTGGTATCGATGGACATTTTGGTCAGAATGTATCAGTTTGGGCTGAGGGACCTGTCTACGTGTTGTAGGACTCTATGACTCTCTGAAGTTAGGGTGGGAAAGTGAAGTTCATGTAGGAGTACAGCCATGATCATCTTGCCAACTGGAAGCTGGCAGCACAGCTTTCAGTTGGTAAAGGAGGAGACCAGAAGTCAATCTTTACTCTGTTTCAGATTTACTCACAAAGGGAAACTTTACAAGTTCACAACTTTTTAATTCTGCAACTCAACACCAGTGTCAATAAGTATCTTTTATCAATGCTTAAGTAATCATCTAATGAATGCTCTTTGTTTATATATCATTAAGCTTAAATTATACAACTATATCATTTTGTGAATGTTACTGAACACCACAGTCTACAGTATGAAATTATGTTAACTTCAGAATGCCTTAGTCCTTAAAACCTGCCCCCACTCGTTAACAGGTGTATATGTTTCATAAACTTGTCAAGATATTTTTCAAATTTCCTCAAAGCAATTCTATTGAAATAGTACATGCTGATTTTTATTTTTTAATAGTTCATAAAGCTAGATTGCCTGACTTTTGGATTGATATTCTTAATGTATAGCTTAAAAGAAATGCACTTAAATATTAAACAAAATAAAAGGAAAGAATTGCAGATGCTGGAAATCAGAAACAAACACAAATTGCTGGAAAATCTCAGCACGTCTGGCAGCATCTGTGGAAAGAAACCAGAGTTAACGTTTCGGGTCCAGTGACCTGAAGAAGCGTCCTGAACACTAACTCTCATTTCTCTCCCCAGATGCTGCCAGACCTGCTGAGTTTTTCCAGCGATTTCTGTTTTTGTCACTTAAGTTTTTTTTTAACTTTAGTTGAATAGGTTTTAGTTGTTTTAATACAACTTTTTCTCAAGAGTGAAAACTGGAGAGGTTATTAGCCTTCCAGAATCAACTTGTATTCAGTTGACATTTTCTGTCAGGTTCAGTTTTGTTTTTTTCTGCAGGGCACAAAATGATTGGTGTCTAAACTGATTAAAGTAATTTGTATTTATTCACATTTGCCACAATTTGGGCCAGGTAGCGAATCCCCATTCGTTCAATCATCATGAAGGCAGCTTTGTTTTAAAGTGGATTAAACAATCATCTATATTCCTGCATACCGAATGCTTTAATTATGAATGTGCAAAATTTTGGCAACTCTGCCTTTGAGGCTAATATATTGAATAGCTTATTTCTTTTCAAATCAATATGTTTATATTTTATTTCATAGCAATGGTTATTGACATTTGGTTATGTGCCACAACAAAGCTATTATGGATTTCCTTGAGGTTGGCTTTTCACCAAATAATCTGTAACTACAGGTTATTCAGAAGATAAAAAATAATTTTCTAACTTGGGGAAGATGAAATACTTAAGAGTTTTTTTCTAATTAATTTTATTGAGACATATCTGTTCATACTTACATTATGCTTTCCAAAATATTCAGTTCCTGCATTCAGATAATATAACGAGTACAATGCATTTTGAGATTGGTCTCAGTATTTTAAAACCTAAATTATATTGTTGATAACGTGCCATAGCACTATTCATCTGAAGTGATCAATTTTTACCCAAAGTTAGAATGAGTAAAGACTTTTATCATACAATTTTTACAATGCTCTGTTTTTTTTATTGTCAATGGTTTTTGAAAGTAATAACATTTCTTGTTGGTATTTGATATTCTATTTATAACAATGCAAGTTTCAGTTTTTTTTTTGGTGTATACTTCAGTCATGCTGAATATTGATAATTCCACAAAGGTGATAAATTGCTATCTGTTCCTAATGGACAAATATTTTTGATTTTTTAATATCTTAGAATCCATATATTTACGTAGTCTGTTAATTTAAAAAGAAGGCTAACTTCCCCATGATGTGTTGCATCTGCTTACTTGCAAAGCAAGCATTCAGTACGCTTCATGTCATCTAACATTGAGAGATTGGGACATTTTTGATAATTAATAGAATCCCTTTACTTGATAGTGCAGCACCTTAGTCGTCAACTTGTACCACCTTGTCAGCGTGCTCAATCACAAACTTGGTCCAGGAATGATGACAGGAAATGACATCGGCTTTTACAAAATTGTACACACAGGCCCATCTGGTGCCCTCAGATGAGATCACTGTTTACTACAGCTCCGAGCCAAAAGGAGAGTATTTGGACAATGTCATTCAGAGTCACATTGACTTTATCTTAGGAACTATCAAAGCCTCATTGAAGCCCTACCCAGTTCCAATTTCTGCTGGAGTGATTATACAGGAAAAAGCACAGGTAAAGCTTCTAACTTTTTATCTCCTGTCTTGCACATTCTTAATCTGAGTTTCATGATATTTTTGAATGTATGTGGTTACATTTGATACGAAGTTGAAATGTGGCTTTGTTCAGTATTGTGTATCATAGAATCCCTACAGTGTAGAAAGAGGCCATTTGGCCAATCGAGTCTGCATGGACCCTCTAAAGAGCATCCCACCTTGATCCCTAACCTATCTCCGTAAACCTGCATTTACCATGGCTAATCCACCTAGACTACTCATCCGTGCACACTGTGGACAATTTAGCATGGCCAATCAATCTAACCTGCACATCTTTGGACTGTGGGAGGAAACCAGAGCACCTGGTCAAAACCCAGGGCTGGAATTGAACCTGGGTCCTTGACGTTGTGAGGCAGTAGTGCTAACCGCTGAGCCATTGCACCACTCACTGTATCCCTCTTGGCTTTTACATCAGTGATGTTAGGCCAATCGGTTTTCCTACTGAAATACAGTGGCAAGAGCAGGTCAGAGACTAGGAACGTTGCAGCAAGTAACACACTGACTCCCTGAGACTGTTCACCAGCTACAAGACACAAGTCAGGAGTGTGGTGAAATGCTTCCCATTTGCCTGGATAAGTGCAGCTCCAACAGCTCTCAAGAAGCATGACACTTTTCCAGGACAAAACAGCCCACTTGATGGGAACCACATCCACAAACACCACACCACCACCATTATTCAGTAGCAGCAGTGTGTACGATTTACATAATGCACTGCAGAAATTCACCAAGGCTCTTTAGACAGTAGGTTCCAAACAAACAATCACTGCCACCTCGAAAGACAAGGATAGTAGACACATGGGAACACCGCCGCTTGCAAGTTTCCCTCCAAGCCACTCACCATCCTGACTTGGAAATATATCTCCATTCCTTCAGTATTGCTGGATCAAAATCTGGAACTGGCTCCCTGATGGCATTATGGGTGCACCTAAACCACAGGGATTAAAGCAGTTCAAGAAGGCAGCTCAACACCACCTTCTAAAGGGCCATCAGGGGATGGGCAATAAATGCTGGCCCAGCTACAATGCCCACATCCCAAAAATGAATAAAGAAAGACTAATTCTGCATATCTGATATATAAAGTGGAAGTTTTGTTCCATTAATAGATTTCCATGTAATTGTTAAGTATAGGGTATTTATAGTTTTCAGTAAGGTATAATAGAATTTATTTTTAAGAGTTAAGAATTAAAAGAAGGTGTGATTAGGTCCTTCCTGCAGGTGAGCTCATTGCATGATTGACCAACAAAAAAGAATCCTGTTTTATTCAGTCAAAGTAAATTCTATACAGGACGTTAACTGTGATGTTAGGATAGAAAAAGTGGACATTTTTTAACGTTTTATAATGTGTTTTCTATTAGTTAGATATCTAGAAATTTAGAAATTTGTCATGCCTTCTTCCTCTGGTCTATTCCAGTGAAATGTTCTAATGCTTCTTGAAATGGCTGATTTGTTTTTATTGAGGACAGCAGCTTTGAATCATCCTGGGTGGGTGGATGGGATACTAAACATATACTCACAGCAGGTTTCAGTTCTTAAAGGAAGAGGAAAATCATTTTTTAATTGTTGTGTTTGTAGCAAATATTTTTCATCTTTAGTGTGTGACTTGTAACAATATTCCCTTTTTACAAGGGAGTGCCAATGTAATGTTTGGAGAAAAATATGAAGGGAGTCAGAACAAGAGGCATTACCTTTTTATTCTTCTCTTGTTGGTAGTTGAAGCACTCAAATCTAGATTTGACACTCGTGAAAGGAGCCTCAACTGTTGATGCTCCTGTTTTGGGCCTTGCTTGTGCATATATCAATCTTAAGGTGTGCGTGGATGGAAACAAGCAAGGTAAGAATGAGAAACGTATTTTAATATATTTGTTATAAAGACAATGACTATTTTAAGACTTTTTAAAATTATAAACTGAAATGGAGAAGATTGCTGTATGTTTTGAAAAGTAAGTAATTAATCCTCATCGCAAGTACCATGCAAGCAGCTGCTTGAACAGGCTGTAATTGAAGTGGCTGCAGACAAATTGGAACCAAGGGCAGTGTTGATTTTTACCAGGCAAATCAATGGACTACATTTGTAGGAGTAGGTGTAAGATATTAGGACTCTTCCATTGAGGCTCTGGGTAATCCTGCAAGCTAGTACCGTCATGGATAGTAGACAGAATTGAAAATTCATCTGTGCAAAGATTGGTTCAATTATACTCCATGAATATCCATAAACACATTTATAATTCCTCAAACTTTGACTCTTGCCAGACTGCAACTGAATTGTATCATCTTAAATGAGTTAGGTCCACTTGGGTCGAGTATGTGGATTCCACATTAAGTGACTAAATTATCAGGTTTACAAAACATGTTTCTCTATGGATTTCTGGTTGAATTTGTCGATGCATGATGATGGATTAATGCAACAATAAAAAGTGAGCTGACCATGAAAAGTTGTGGCAATGTGGCAGTCTAAAGAGGGTGAATTATTTTAATTGGATCATTGTATCTGCTTGTGTTTCTGTGTAGCTTGCATAACCACCTGGAATATGCCTGCTAATTTGGATTAATAGCTTCAGTAATAATTCTGGCCCTGACTCTTAATGAGCAATTAGAGTGAACTCAAAATAACAAATGCCATGTTTTAAAAAAAGTTTGTCAAAGGTGATGTTATTGAATCAAAACCCAGTTCTCATTATTGAAGTAAAAATCTTGATTCATTTTTCAGATGGTGTGGTACTACTGGAAAATCCAAAGGGAGATAATGTTCTGGACTTTGTCAAGCTGAAAAATGTGATCGTCAACATATTTAAACTGCAGACAACCAAAATAGCTATCTATCATGATAACAGTGGTAAATATGTTCTTAGTTTTGGAAATATTCTATCCTGTGATTCTTCATTAGTTTCTTTTAAGTTATTGAGCCACGTTTTTCTCGGATAATAGGAGTGTCTTTGCAATGCATATTGCTTTCAACATGCAAATTAACCATCAAATTCAGATGAGAATGAGATATGATGTAAGTCGTGAATTGCTATAATTTTCTGGTTGATTTATGGCACTGCAGCCCTACCACATCAAGTAGAATAAAACAACAGGGCAGCACGGTGGCTCAGTGGTTAGCACTGCTGCCTCACAGCACCAGGGACCCAGGTTCGATTCCACCGTTGGGTGACTGTCTGCGTGGAGTTTGCACATTCTCCCCGTGTCTGCGTGGGTTTCCTCCCACATCCAGAGATGTGCAGGCTAGGTGGATTGGACATACTAACTTGCCTGTAGTGTTCAGGGATGTGTAAATTAGGTGGGTTATAGGGGGATGGGTCTGGGTGGGATGCTCTGAGGGTCAGTGTGGACTTGTTGGGCCAAAGGGCCTGTTTCTACACTGTAGGGGTCTATTAAAGAAAAAACTCAGTGGAGGAGGAGGCTCCACAAGTAACCCCACATTCAAAGATGGGGAAGCTCTGAACATCAATGCAAAAGATAAGGCTGAAGCATTTCCCTTAATCTTCACCCAGAAGTGCTGGTGGATGATCCGTCTCGGCACCCTCCAAAGGCCCTCAGCATCATAGATGCCAGCCTTTAGCAATTCATTCACTTCACATGATATCAAAAAAGAGTTGCAGACATCGGATACTGCAAAAGCTGTGGGACCTGAAGAAGTACTGGAGACGTGCTCCAGACTTGACGTACCCCTAACCAAGCTGTTCCAGTGTGGCTACAACACTGGCATTTCCCCAACAATGTGGAAAATTATCCAGGTATGTCCTGTTCACAAAATGCATGACAAATCCAACCCAGTCAATTATTGCCTATCTGTCTACTCTCAATCATTAGTAAAGAGATGGAAGGTAATACCAGCACTGCTATCAAGTGGCAGTGACTTGCTTGTTAACAGTTGCAGTTTGGTTTCCACCAGGACCACTCGGCTTCTGATTACACATTGTTACGCCTTGGTTCAAACATGGACAAAAGAGTGAAATAAGAGTGCTTTTCCTTGACACCAAGGCTGCATTTGACCGATTGTGATGTCAAGGAGCCCTAGCAAAATTGGAATCAATGGGAATAGGACAAAAATTCTCTGCTGGTAGCAGTCATAGCTGGCACAAGGGAAGATAGTTGTGGTTGTTACAGGTTAGTCATCTCAGCTCCAGGACATCTCTGCAGGACTTCCTTGATGTAGTATCCCACGCCCAACAATCTTCACCTGCTTCATCAATGACCTTCCCTCAATCATAAGGTCAGAGGGCGGAATGTTCGCTACTGATTGCACAATGTTCAGCACCATTCACATTGACTCATACTGAAACAGTCCATTTGTGGGCATGCCAGATTTCCTTAGCCTTCTGAGAAAGAGGCATTGGTGTGCCTTCTCGACTGTAGTGTCGACGTGGATGGACCAGGATAGTTTGGTGATATTTACTCCTAGGAACTTGAAGCTCTCGACCAGTTCCACCTCAGCACCGTTGATACAGACAGGGGTGTGTCCTCCATTTTGCTTCCTGAAGTCAATACAAACTCTTCTATTTTGCTGACATTGAGGGAGAGATTGTTGTCTTTACACCATGCCAGAAAGTTGTCTATCTTTTTCTTGTACTCTGTCTCGTGGTTGTTTGAGATCAGACCCACAGCAGTGGTGTCATCAGCAAATTTATAAATGGAGTTAAAGCTGAATTTGCCCACACAGTCATGAGTTTTTAAGGAGTACAGTAAAGGGCTGAGTATGCAGCCTTGTGGAGCTGCGGTGTTGAGGATGATTGTGGAGAAGGTGTCGTCATCTATCCTCACTGATTGCGGTCATGGGTCAGTGCCAATAGTGCCAAGGCTTCTGTGCCATAACAGTGTGGCACAGGCCCCCTACCGATTCTTAAGCTGATGGACAAGACCTCCGTTGTCCACATTAAATCTTGACAAATATTATTTTCACCTTTCCTTTGTCGTCTTTCCTTTTTGAGTCTGGACATTCATGGTAGCATTGAGATTTATTTGACAAGGCATAACAAATACTTGGGTCAAGGCAATCGAAGAGTATTGTTACTTAATGTATTAAATTTAAAATTAGGAGCAGCTAGAGACAGCACCAAATGTTACACAATATACCCAGGGAATCTTTCAAAAATCTGTAGATCTGCTTGTTTCTTGTTGAATGTTCTCTATATAAAATTTCAAAAGTTGATGGGCAGTTTTGGTGTTTCCAAAGGCCATGAGATCCCATTCAAATTAGGATTTTGCTCTCTAGTGATTTATAAATGTGAATCTATGTTGAGTTGATCCTTTGTCACTAACACATTACTTGCAATCCAAGATTAATTATCACAGGGCTATACTGTAGACAAGGAGTGATTATTAATTCTGATAAATGTTTTGGGTTCACAGGATAGCCAACAGATGCTGTGATTCTTATTTTGTGAAATTGTTTTGGCAGTACAGAAGTGCTGCCAATTGTTCTAAGATTTGTTGTGCCAGCAATGAAAGATCAATTCCAAAAATTCATCGTAGCCACTGAAATGAAAGTCTGGATCTCTGTGCTGGCTGCCTATGGTTGAGTTTTAGCGGGTATCCATTTTGATGCAATATTATGTCAAGAGAATGGCGTTTGTTGTAAACATATCATCATAGAACTAGGATGTAAAGCAGCATGTTTCAAATAGACTGTGTGTCCACTGGTGTTGGTACTTGTGTGTTGAATCCTTACAGTCAACTGTTTGATGAGCTTTCCTTTTACATGTAAAATTGCATAGTCCCAGAGGACCAGAGGCAGCACTCATTAGGGATGACTGGTGGTGAGTTTAACCTGAGGGACACCATACCTGAGGCAAGGAGTAAAGTTGAGAAGGTGAGACCTTCACATGTATGTATACGTAATATAAATGAGTTCTCATTTCTCCAACGAACAGAACCTTCTCCTAATTTATGAATCATGTTCATGATGACTTTGTGCCAAGAAGCCAGAAATGAAACACATTTCACTGGAAATATTTGGCAGCGTAAAACCATGACCCAATATTTTTAATCTTTCAGGTGCAACCTTTACCCTGACAGACACATAACTATTAGCATCACATTGTGCCTGTTTATCATGCACAATCTTGGGAATGGCCATCAGCCTTCAAATTGTCTGCTAATTCACACAACATCCTGGGGTTTGAGGATACATACCTTTTCCTTCTAAGTTAAAATTTGAATTTATTACCTCTCGACATTGGGAGATACAGCTCCCATCACCTCAGCAAGTCTGAAGTATAGCATTAAAATACCCTGTGTAATGTCACCCTTATCCAGAAACAAATACATTTTGAAAATCCAATGGTTGACAGTTGTAGTTTTGACACATGTGAAGTATAAAGTTCAATATTTGAGACTTCAAAATTGAAGAACCCAGCATTTTCTCTGATCTGTCCTAGCTATGAATGAAGAATAGTTTGTAGTGTGACAAAATGGAGACATGAAATTGTACCAGTCTCTACTGAAATAATAAGTAGAATAAAGCATAAGTAATTTGAAATGTAGAATAGATGCTGCCCTGCTACACTGTTCTTTGATTACCAGGGACAGGCAGTGCCACAGACCTTTACCTGTACAGCCCATGTGGTGTGCTTTAGGAACTCTGAATTCAAAAAGTCAAATACATCTCTTGCTGTTGTGATTTCACTCAGTTGTCATATGCCCCCATATTTGTGCCCTTTTTTAGCAACAGCCAGCAATGAGATATACAAGCATGTATCATTTCATCCTTCAAAATAATTGGTACCTACAGAGCTTTTCTGTGTCAGAAAAAGATGCTAGAAAACTATTAGTTACACTGCATAGCATTGTTGCAATTCCCGTCAGTCACAGAACACCATTTCCTGTTTGGTGTGCAATAATAGCAAAGATTTGCCTCCTCCTTACAGTACCGGATGCTAATTGATTACTGCAGGCTAACCTTGCTGAAAATGTGAAAACAGTGAACATTATACAATACCTATTTATAATTGAGTTGTTTAAATCAATTCTTTTGTTCCTGTTTGTACCTCTACTTGTTCTTGTATTTTGTTTCTGCCCTGTGTAACTGGTCACCTTTGTTGTGAGGTGGGTAGAAAAGTGATTCCTGTGCATTCAGATGGTTGTGTTGTAGTACAAATTGGTAAAATGGAGCTTTGAATTTAGACAGAAAGATAAAATTGTTTGCTTCTAAAACCAATTTTAATTTGTTTTTCATGCGTATTCTGTTAAATAATGCCCTATAAGAGGCTGGTCCAAAAAAATGCATTTTTAATTTAAATGTTTACCAAAGATGCATACCATATTTTATTGATGACTTAATTAAAATGCCTGTATTCTTAAATGCTTAGATACATTGCTGTGGTTTAAATGTAAGCCTTTACTGCCATCACCCACCGTGATAAACAAATAAAGTACCGAATCTGTATAATCTCCTACTTTTATTCTTTCATAATGATACCTTTATTTTCTTGTATTTTCCAAAAAAAACTATTGTGAATCCCTGTTGTATGGAGTTCATTGTTCTATTATTGATAGCAGCCAGCTTGAACAGAATTTAATCCCTCTTGGAGTTTGGAACCTGGCATCTTCCTGCCTCCTAACGTTTTGGACAACTTCCTATCTGGGCACTAATTGAGGGCCTTAAGTTGGTTGCCACTGTGGTATTTTAACCAATAGCAGCAGTGGAATTATTCGCATAAAGCAAATTGTGGCCTCCAGTTGGTGTTCAACATTCAAATGCACTCAATGCCTGATTGGCAAGTAGGAGGCATGCTGAGAGCCACTACCTTGCCCTGTCTTCTGCTCCCAGTACCTCCTAATGTAAGTTCCCCTTCAATGAACCGCACCCCCTACCCCTCCAAAGTCCTCACT